CAGATTTCTTTTCGGCCCCTTCAGGCACTGGAAGGTGCTGTAAGGTTTCCCCAGAGCCTTCCCTTCTCCAGGCTGAACAAGCCCAACTCTCTCAGCCTCTCCCCATAGCACACATGTTCCAGCCTCTTCATGGCTGGAAGATGTGTTACCAGTACTCTTCGTAAGGTAAATCCTAAACATAGCCTAGTGCCAGCTACTGTGAAGAAAACGAACTCTGTCCTGACTCAAACCAGCACATTAGTAGCAATGTGCCTGTATCCCCTTTCTAGGAAAAAATTCAGTATTCTCAGTTTTTCCCAGAGCTGCTTTTGTGGGGAAACATTTTACAAATACACAAAAGTAGCTCTTACTGATGTCATAAACTGGTGTCTCACTGGGGAGCCTGTTGATCCATCTTGAAGAACCTGCTTGGAAGTACTAAGTTCCATGGCTTTCGTGTAGGAAAATGAGCACTCTACACGTAGTTGTATATACTTGGCTTCTATTATCGACATCTTCAATGTCCAGGGCTAACAGTTCTCCGGCAGTAAGAAGACTCACCTGCAGAGACTCAAGCTTTACCTCTTAGGGGTATGCATAAGGTGTGTATGTATGGAGGGGAATATTCCTGGTCACTTGACTGGAGAACGTAATCAACCAAAAGGATGAAGCAGGAGAAAAAGAGCAGAACAAAGTGGGGTTCTGTGCTGTTCTTCTAGAATAATTCACAGTTTAAAATCTTATATTTTTTTGACTGATTCTGTACATTGACATTGTTTTTCTACCTTTTCCTATTTTCAGGTTGTAGAAGTGGGATTTAGGGTTATGCGCTTGATATGCGCATTTATTCAGCACACTGGGGGGTGCTGAATTCATATTGATTGTGCATTTGAGGGTCTCTTGGCAACCTAGCCTTGTTTAACCCTGTGATTCGATGTGCTAAATCACATGCATCTCCAAAGGTGCATCCTTCCTATATTGCTTCCTTTGCAGCTGAGAGAATTTTATACATTTACCTTCTGGCTATGGTTGTCCAGTAGCCATTAAGTTATTAGCTGGGGCACTTGGAATTTTGGATGGATGCATCTTCAAGCTGGCTGTGGATTGAGTAGCTTGATCTCACACATGCTTACAGGGCTGCCAGATAATTTTTATTTCCCATCAGTGATTGTATTGCTCAGATCAACTTGATTCTTTGCTTAACTCCTTTTTCTTTACTACTTATCTGTCACTGGATGTGATGAAGCACCAAGGTATTAGTTTGCTGTTTTGTAGTTCTCAGTCTTGACAATCGGTCTAATCCAAGGCAACTTCTACCAAAAGCAGCATCATGTTTCATATCCTGGCTTTTGCTGGTAGGCTAGGATTATAATTGGATTATACTGAGGAGACATTTACCTAACTTCAGGGGAGCTTTCCTTGTCTGAAGACTGATCCCCATGAAAACTATCCCACTCTTTTTAGATACTCTGCAGGCTGTTTTTCTACTAACAATGCTTTGCTGTGCTTATCCTAGTATATCCTACTAACCTGTGCTCCAGCATGACGAAGCAGCTCACCCTTTCCAAACTTAAAAGCTTAAGCAGATGATACATAACTTCTCCTCCCAGGTTTCACATCAGGGATCAGTTGAACAGTGGCAGCTTGGCTTGTCTGAAGCATAGAGGGAATTAGTAGCACCCTGTGCCTTCCAGCAATAAGGACAGCAAAAGACCTCCTGCTCTAAGAAGAGGAATTCTCCTTTCTCTTATTCACCAGTATCAGTAACCTGTGCCTCTGCGCATCTTAAAACCAGATATGTGTGTAGGCATGCTGGGCACAGTAGTCTTCTGACAGGCATCATCACAAAGCCTTCAGCCTTTCTGTGCTTCCTACAAAAGATGTAGAGACGAGAAGGTGTCATCATTCCTTCCTTCATTTTGTGAAGTGTATGCTAGTGTACAGACCACGACATGGAAAGTGATGTACTGGGATGAAACCCAAGGAACTGTTCGTTCCTTTCATCTCTACCCGGTGGTGTAAAGCAAGGCCAAAATGTTGTGTATTGGGAAATTACTTTCTCTTCTGAAGTGAGATATGTTTGCAGTGTGTCATTTAATGGGTGACTTAGGGCCAGAGGCATGTGGTTTATCTGCTGTTTCTTACGTGACTCTGGATCTCCTTATTGTATACAGAAAGCTAATTATTTTAATACTGCTATTGACTCTTGGCTAAAGTGATAATTGTGACAGAATTCCCTTGATTAATTGCACGCCATGCATAAAACGCTTTGTGCAGGCATCTGATGATTTTTTAAAACTTTTTAACATCTTCCCTGTCGTGAGAGGTTAAATAAGCTGATGGACAGAGATCACTTGGCTTTCCTTAAAGATTGCCCTCCCTTTACTCCATGGTAGCCCAGAAGACCTGCCAGTTCTCCCACAGATGTGTGTCTTCTGATGCAATGCAATACATCTCTGCTGTTAGCACGCATGTTTGGTGATCTGCTCTTCACCTAGCTTATGTCTTCCTTCCTCACGGCTGTGATTCATAGTCACTTGAGTGAGATTTCCAGGAAGAAAATGCATTTTTAGATACATTAACCTTTCAACAAGTCTTACTTAAATGATCCTGGTTTGCTTTTTTCCTTGCTTCCTTGTTTCCCTTATTATGTGTGTTCACCTTGTGACTCTAAGCTGAGTCCAGCATTTCTAATTTCCTTGCACCTGACCTGAGTGGATTTAGAATCAGCTTCTTTCTTTAAATGTCCCCTGCCCCAGGGTTTGCTTTCACAGTGCTCGATAGGATTCTTGCTTTGCGGATGTTGAAGTTAATTAGATATACGCGGTCACCGTCATTCAGCGGCTTAACGGTTACTACTGCTTCGCAGGAGAGCACTTGATAGAGCAAGGTATCTAATGCTCTTCTGGCATACCAGGTTGTTTCTCAGCTCTGACCATTTGAAAGGTTAACCTTGCAATGGAGAAAAAAAGACTTAAGAGGAAAGCTTGGGTTTGTTTTTTTTTCCCCTCCTCTCCACTATAATTTGTGTGGGATTTTTGCAGATGAGCAGTGATTCCCCCTGTAGAAAAGAGCTAGTCTCCATCTGCCCAAGCAAGAATGTTGAGGCTGAGGACAGAATATAAAAGATGTGCACTTGGATTGCAGGGGGTGTGCCTCTTTTGTGAATTACAGCCTCTGTGAGGCAATCCAACCTGTGCCTCAGAGCAGCAACCCTGATCAGGCTGCTGGGGCGGACAATCCAGCCCTTGCATGGGCCACTCAACTCTGCTGCCATTGCCCAGGAGGAAGAAAGTTATGCTGCTTAGGAAACAGCTGTATGCCAGCAGGCTGGTTAGGTAAAAAGATCTTTTCTGATCCCTAACATACCCAAACACTTTTCTTCCTGTAGTTATGATAAGCAGAGGTGGTATGGTTGTACCCTCTAAAAATAGTTATTCTGACTGCCCAGTTGCCATCTCTGGTGACCATTAATTGTACCTTAAGCCAGTGTAAGGCTAAAACTGAGCAATTTAGAACTCGTTAAAATGTCACAGGCTATGAGAAGCACTTGTCCCGTCGGGAGCACCGTATCTCAAATAGCACAGCTACTAGTAGCCCGAGACGTCAGGTCCTTTTTACTCGGAAGGCTAGTTTTTTTCTAAATTATAATGCCTTTCTCTCCATTAAGAATGAGGATTTTTCCTGTCTTGGAGCTGAGATGAACTATGAATATCTGCCTAGGTAAAAGAAAGGGTTTGCAGGTTAAATACCTGTTGTCCAATAACAGGGTTGCAACTCAGGCTGTTGCAAAGACAGAGAGAAAAAGGAGCAAGGCTGTTCCAGGGGAGAAACAGTGTGTAGCCTTTGCCTTGAAACAGATGGGTTTAAATCCTTTTCAGACTTTTTGATTTTGGTATTCTTCTTGAAGATCCTGCTGATTGTAACAAAACTGCAAAGCAAAACTCTGCAAGTACTGGATTGTTTTGGAAGCTCCAGTATTTTGAGACCATTGTTTGCCATCAAGCCAAAACACATTCCCTCTCCCCCCAGCCCAGTTATTTTTTCCCCACGTCAAGAAGTTGGAAAATGTTTCATTTCACACCGCATGCACACATACACCACTTTGCTTTTGAAGTTATTAGAAGCTAGAATTAATTTTTTAAAAAGCAACTGCTTTGAACTACGAAATCACTACTGTTTTAAACTGTGCCAGAATGATGTACTTTAGACTTCTTTCAGGTTTTCTGCTACAATATTCTGAACTGACCCAGTTCATTCTGAACTGACCCAGAATGTTTTTCGCGAAACGTTTTTTTAATTACTAAGCCTGCACTCTTTTTAATGCGTCTTGCTAAAAAATTAATCTCAGCAAAACCAGAATGGAAGAAGTACCATCATTTTCCGTGTTCATTACCTTTTGGCTTCAATTGTGCTGACAGTAAGATCTGCAATCAGCTGTATTTGTGGGGAGAGAGGAAGTAATTTTTAGTGGTGAACATTTTAGTTAATTTGCTTTCCTTAGCA